GATCGGTAGCCTAATTTGGTGGTGTACGACGTGAATACCTGGATCGATGTGAAATAACACCCTAGTACGGCAGTATGTGGCTTGAAATACGAGTCTTATGACCTGGCAGCATCTGGCTTGAGATACAGATTAGGTCCTTAAAGTAGCTTCCCAGGAACACCAAATTGGAAGCACCAAGGGCACTCACTCAAAAGACACCAATTTGGAAGTGGTACAAGAAAGAATTAGGAGTAATATAATAAGTACTGAGAGGTAGAAGTTGGCTGGTAGACGTTGTACAGTAGTATATAAGCGGAATATATATAATAAATATAGGTTTGGGAACCATCCGGTGATTTAGTAATTGGTCTGATTGCAGGGCGGTTACTAAGGAGATAAAATCTCATATAGCAAGTCACACATAGGTACTAAGTTAGTAACCGGGTGAGTCTTATCTGAAATAATTAGATAGTTGTAAATGTATGTATATACGTTTGTAACCACAATACCTTAGAGTACTAATAAATAGTTAAGGCAAGACTGCCGAATTAAAAAAAAAAAATATATATATATATATAATATTAATTGAACTATAGCTCTAGTTAAACAGCCATAGCATTACCTCATCTGCAAAACAATACTCTGTTGAGTGTAAAAAGCCCCACATTGTATTAATACATAATACGGAATTTATAGTAGCAAGAAAAAATGCTTGAAATAGAAGGCTGAGTAGTCTAACTAATTTAGAAGTAACCTTAATGGTTACAAGGCCTTCTATGGGATACCAAAAGAGGGAGTTACATATAGTAAGTAGTATGTGCCAGAGGTGTTCTATAATTAGTAAGACTAATTTTTTATCACAGATTTCTTTTGTGTTTCACCACTTTTCTCACTACTCCAATTCTGGTTATTTGTCTAGTTGTTCTCCCAACCAAGATCCTAATGCTGCCTTAGAGTAGTTGGTATTATCTATATTAACTGAAAATTTACTTATACAACTTTTGTATAATAGAATCTTCTATAATATTACTTGTTATATATAGTATCATTTTTCTGCAAATAGATCTCCTAGAAATTCCTATTCCAAATATATATTCACTTGAACTTTTATATATGAGTATATTCAAATATTCATAAAACTATATCTACTAGGACTTGAACCTGAAACCTGCTTATAAAGGGTTGGATGCTTAAATAATATTAAAATTTTGTTTTTAATATATTGTAGATCAAAATATCAATAATGAAACTTTGAAATTTTGTCTATTCATTTTCATAATACAGATTGGTTAAATATATGATAATTACTCACATAATAGCTCCAAACACACAATGCTATACATTGCCTAGTAATAAATCAGTAATGAGATATATAAATACTTTTTTGGTAGTACTTATTTTTTATTATAGTATTTAAAATTTTTTTTATTGTTTTTTTTATAAAAAAATTTTTTATAGCAAGTATTTGAAAATAAAAAGCCAATTATGTCTCAAATTATATTGGCAATTGCTAAAACTGAAGCAAATAAGATAAAACCAAAAAACCAAAGAAGTAACTATGAAAATGAATTATTTTTAAACTTTATTCAAAAAAGTGAAAGTCTTAATAATAATTATGCCAATTTAGTAAAGTTAATTTTTTTATTTTTCTAGATAAGCAACCTTGATTTTTAATTTTTAGATTGCAATTATGCTTGAGTTTTTGAAATTTTTTTGATTTTTTTTTTATATAAATAGTCTTAAGAGTAGGGTTTCTAGATTTAGTTTTAGTTTAGATTTAGATTCAATAAATCTAAACTACAAATTTTGAAACTAAACTTTGAATTTATAAACCTAAACTTAAAGTTTTGATTCAGTTCATATTCAGTTCAAGAATTATGAACATGTTCAGATTCAGTAACAAAACATAATAAACAGTAAGTAAATATTTTTTTTATTGTCTTTAAAATTTCTAAATTTGGAGTTTTTTAAAATACTTTTTTTCTTTATTAAGTAAATTTTTTTTAATTTCTAAGAAAAGTTATAGATGTATATCTTGTGATCAAAATGGTAGTTAAAATATTAAAATCAGCCCAATAGATCACAAAATATAAGTATTTTAGTTTTGCAACTATATATTTTCTTCTTTATATAAATAAAGAAGAAAACAAATAGCTATAAAGACTAAAATATAGAAATACTTATATCAGATCTTATTTAGTATAGGTGGGAATATATAAATATTATAAGATTATTTAATATAAAAAAACTCTAACCCTAACCCAAAGCTAACTATAAACTATACTATAACTTCATCCTAACCCTAACTAGTCTCAAATCTGTTTAGATTAGTTCAAAAAATTATTTTTATATTAAATAATTTTATAATATTTATATATTCCCACCTATACTAAATATTAACCAAAAAATTTTTTGTTCAGATGACTGATAAATCACCTATTAAATTTAATTAAATATATAATTTTTACAACTATGTTTGGCATAAGCTATAATAGTGCTTTCATAGATTTATTTTTTTCCTGCCTTTTTCTTTTTCTTTTATTTGTTTTTTCTATTCATTTTCTTGTTGCTTAAATATTTTTTTTTCACTCTTTTGTTTTATTCTTTTTATCTTTTTTGTTAGTATTAGTTTTTTTTTTATAAATCAGTTAGAAACTATAAATCCTTCTGCTCAAAAAGCTAGAAAAAGAAGGTTAGAAAAGGAGATGATCTTGATAGGTTGTAAATACCATTCAATAATGTATCAAAAAATTCATTTGCAGGGTTTTTTAATATGGAGATAAACTTTACTATAGCAGATCAAACATAGATAATTTGGGCACTTTGGTATCACAAAGAGTTGGGTTAGTCAATATTTGTAATTTAGGTAGATTTTAGATAACTTTAGTCAAATTTGCATTTTTACCCAAGAGTTCAAATGATCATACCTAATAAAATATTGGCAAAATTGCCAAATTGACAAAAAAAAAATATAAAATAAAAACTGCTATTCGCACCATGGTTTCTGCAGATCATTTCGATTTTATCACAAAATTATTTTAAACATTTTAAACTTTGATCGAAGTTATC